CCTGGCCCCTTCTGAGCCCCGCCTTCATGGCGGGGCCATGTGTTTCAAGGGGAGCTTTTATTGCCTCTACAATTCTGGAATCAAGTTCGGTGGTTCTAGGATTGGAATAATAAATTTTTATCATTCTGATCCTAGAAACTTGCGAATTTTGTGTTTTTTGCGTGGAAAGATAATAAAAACTACTGGAATTTTCGAGCTTCGGTTACAAAAAGATGACAGGCATCGAACATATGTGACAAAAAATTGAAACATCCAACAGAAGTCATTATTGGCATCGTTAGTTAATCACCGTTATCTGGTTTGGATATGTAAACACTTTCGTTTCATTAAGCCACATGGGTTGGCCACCACAAATGCCCATGTTTAGTTAGTGGAGTTAATAGCTAAAACGAAGACCTACCGATGGGGTTTTGAAGAGCGATATGCAATCGAAATAGGGGCTTTTATGTAAAAACTCAGTCCTGCTTGCTGATACTCATATATTCAAATTATTATTGAAACGTCTGTCACGGCAGTGTCTTCGAAGAGCTTTATGATAAATTATAAGCCGTTTTTCTTCGCTGAAGGCCTTCGTGATTGCAGTCTTCGCCGTACCACAACGTTTTTGAGATATCGCATTTCGTACAAACATAATAGAGGTACAAATGGTTAATACCCGCTATTTATTATATTAAATCTCGAAAATTAAATGCACAGGGTAAAACAAATTTCCATTTTGCAAAGTTACGTCGCATCTTGGGAGTCCAAACGAGCGTTAAATTAACGACATTGGTAGGCACCCACCGTACGTCACTAAAATATCACCTTTTTCCAATCATTATTAGCATAATCACAACAAAATTGCTTTCGCGGTGTTCAAAGTTAGTTTTACAATATATTCTAAGGTGTATTTAAATCACACCTACATTCCACTTACCCTCCCTGTCAGCCCCAACCCCGCCTGGCCCCATCTAAATAGCCGGGGCCAGGCGGGGCAATCCGGGGACAAGGCTGAACCAAATTTATCGCAAAATTTATCGAAATCTATTTTTTGTCAAAAAAGTATCAATAACCATTAGTTTGCATGTTCTTCTTTGATAAAACAATGAAATTGGGGATTGAAACGGGAAAACGGGGGGCCCACGTTGTAAAAATATTTTCCGTAGGTGGGGTTTAAAGGGTG